TTATTTAATTATACTCGTTTGTGTATTTGTAATCAACTTTATTTATTTATTTTCAAATCATTAGTATTAGTTGTAATTCCTGTACATAATATTAATTACTCATATTTTGTAAATCAACATCATCAATTTATGTTATTTGTAATTTTCTGTGTATAATTTATTACTTAATCAGAATCAGTTTCACTCCTGCTTGAATTGTCTCCGTTTATATCTTCAGTCTCGTTATTTACCTTCCATAGTCCTTCTACTCGTTTTAGGTGCAGAATGTTTCGTCTAACCACTTGTCCTGTGTTATCATTACGCAATTCTACATCTCCATTTTTGTTGGACTCAACGGTATGTGATGTTGGCTCATAATTGAGGCTCAATTTGTTGGTTTTATGCATATTTTTTACGTAGACCTTCTCCCCTACGTTCAATTCACTATCCGCTGCTCGCCTTTTCCTATCTGCGTACTGCTTTCCTTTTTCTTTTAGTTCTTTGTCTCTATCTTTCATCTCCGAATCTTCCGAGCTATACGTCATGTCTTGTATCATCGGTAATTTGTCTCTGAATTGTCGCCTAAAGAATAACTCCGAGGGAGTTTTACCGGTTACCGAGTGGGGAGTGCTGTTGTACATAACCATATACTCCCGGAGAGAATCCTTCCAATTTTTCTGCTCGGCCTGAGCGATCTTTAGGCGTTTTAAGATGTCTCTATTCTGCCTTTCCACTTCGCCGTTTTGTTGGGGCCAGTAGGGTATGGTGTTATAAAGCTTGATGTTTCTTTCGGAACAAAATAGTTTGAAATCTTCGCTGGTAAATTGACGGCCGTTGTCAGCCGTGATCGACACTGGATTACCTAATCTACTGAAAATGTCTTTCAGATGGTTGATAATTTCTGAGCTCGTAATTGTCCGACAAACCTTCACTTCTTTGTATCGGGAGTAATAGTCCACGATCACAAAGATATAATCATTACTAGGTAATGGACCCATCAGGTCCATTGCGGTGTCCACCCATGGCTCCGAGGGTAGCTCTCTCCTTTTTATAGGGTTGGGAGGATTGGGAGTCGAGACCAAAACACAACCTTTGCACGTCTTGCAAAAGTTCTCGGCGTCTCTATCGCATTTTGGCCACCAGACTTTAGTCCGCAGTCTGGTTTTCATGGCACATATGCCTGGGTGGCCTTCATGTGCAATACGCAATATCGGGTCTCGAAGTTTTTGTGGCATTACGATCTTAGTCCCCCTTAGTAGGATGTCTTCATAAAAGCACAACTCATCTTGGAATAGTTTATAGCCTTTGGTGAGATCACTCCACTGGTTGTTGTAAAGGCCATTCTTGACTGCTTGTATCTCCGCATCTTGACGAGAATGTACCATTATCTCTTGCAATGGTATAGCTGTCGGCCTTACTTGTTCTATCACATTTTGCACGTAATCTACTCCAACTTGTGGTGGCTTTGTAGAGAGTTTGCAGAGCCTCGACAGCGGGTCTGCTATGTTATTTTTGCCAGGGCTATATTTTATTTTGAATTTATAGGATTGAAGTCTCAAAACCCATCTCTCAATGCGGGCGCACGGTTTGGATTTGGGGCCAAATATTGCTTCTAGTGGTTTGTGGTCCGTTATTAAGTCGAATTCTTTTCCATATAGGAACATATTAAAATGTTCAATGGCCCAAACCAACGCGAGGGCCTCCTTCTCGGTCTGGCAGTATCTGCGTTCGCAGTCGGTAAGCGTTTTGTTCCCATATGCTATGATCCTAGAACCCTCCTTATTTGTTTGGACGAGTACTGCCCCCAAGCCCACAGGACTCGCATCTGCAATCACTGTCGTTTTGTCATTGGGGTTGTAATAGCCCAGACGCGGTATATCAGCAAGTGAAGCTTTTAATTTATTAAAAGCTGCTTGCCGAATGTCATTCCAGTAATCAGTTATGTCTGAGTTTCTTCCTGCCTTCTGCCGGAGTAACTCCTTTAGGGGCTCTGTGGTCGTAGATAAATGGGGAATCCATTTTCCAACTAAGTTCACTAACCCCAGAAAGCTTTGTAGTTCTGCAATGGTGGTAGGTGCTCTAAAGTTCTTGATTGCCGACAAATATTTGTCCAGCGGTTTAATTCCATTTTCAGAGAGCTCGTGTCCTAAAAACTGAACACTTTTTACTCGATAAATGCATTTATCTTCCTTTAGGAGCACGTTGTGTGTTTTTAGAACATCCAGGACTTTCTCCAACCGTTCGTCATGTTCTACCTGATCCTTTCCATACACCAGGATATCATCTATAAAGTTAATGACTCCTTCACAGCCCAAAAGTATCCTCTCCAAAGTCTTTTGAAAGATTTCTGGCGCACAGCTGATGCCAAACATCATCCTTTTATAGCGAAAAAGTCCCTTACCCGTTATAAATGTTGTTATCGGCCTTGAGTCAGGCTGAAGCTCAATATGATGAAAGGCGTCCTTGATGTCTAATTTTGTGAAGAGTTTTGCTTCTCTCATCTTAGGAAGTAGTTGGTCCATGGTTGGCAGTGGATGGTTTTCCCGTTTGATGGCCATATTCGCGCGTCGCATATCTACGCATAAGCGGACGTCTCCATTATCCTTCAGTACTGGCACGATCGGCGAGACCCAACTAGAGGGACCTTTTACCTCCTCAATTATATCAGCGTGCAATAATTCATTAATCTTTTGTTCGACTTTGGCTTCCAGTGGAATAGGTATCCTGCGGTAAGGTTGTGCGACAGGTTTTACTGACTCGTCCAACGGGATCTCCACGAGCACATCTTTGAATTTCGGGAAGGCTGTCGTGTCCACACTATTAACGTCCATTGGTATATTGATTTGCAGGACTCCTAGGGAAGTAGCTGTCATTTTCCCAAGCAGATTCTGGGTGCCACCAGAGATGACATAAAAAGTTGCATTTTCTGATTTCTTCCCTA